TTTGGGGTGAAACGGTTATACCCAACTTTATTTCCAGGTGGCAGGTCAGTCACTAGAATACCATTCACTCAGAGCAAGTCTGTATGCAGCAAGCCAAAATGAATTTATCAGAACTAAGTGATAGTTATTTTTCCTTCTCAACTTTGGGCAACAAGGTGATAGCTTGATGACATCCTGAATTACCTTCTAGTTCAATAAAACCATTTCCTAGGAAAACACTGAGAAGCAATTATTTCATGTCCCCAATTTTCAGTTGCTTATGAATGTTTCCTAAGTGTATTAAATGCCTTTGTTCCACTTACAAACCTGAACAATTTCACAAGCTGTCTGTATCACACCCTGTCTGTTATGCTTTTCTGTGAAGGAAACTGTAGCAGAACAAAGAACTATGCTGAGTTTTGCACACCTAAATTTGAATCTGCACTCAGCTGCTTATTAAGCTGTGACCTTGGGCTAGTTAATTCTTTGATCCTCTGTTTCCTCATCTTCCATATAACAAGATACCTTGAAAAACAGCTATGTAAGGATTAGTAATTTTAAAATATGTGCATGGTACCTGGTAGTGTTCCTAGCACGTTTGGGATACACAGTAACGTTTAGCTTCTTACTATCTCAAGCTCAGCTCTCTCCCTCAACTCTAGGCTCATATCTTACTTCCCACTTAACCATCTTCACTTAGATCACTTCAAATATAACCTGTTAAAAACTCAACTCATCATCTTTCCCCTAAATTCTATTCCTCTACGAACTTAATGTTCAACCACAATAGAATATTTTTCAGGCATTTTATAGGCAACCTTTTCAAGCAGTCAGCTCCTCTTAGCTGACCTCATCCAGGCCCCTGGCTCTAAATACCATTCATATACTGATAACTCCAAAATTTGTATCTCTGACTCTGATCTCCCCTTCCAGCTCCACACCTGTAAAGCCAACTGCTTGCTTAGTATCTGCACCTGGATGTCTGTCCTCCTTTGACCCCTGTGTCATCAGTGTTCCCCATCTTACTTTATGGTATCATTATCCATAAACCCAGTTGCTCAAGCCAAAAACCTGCATGTTCTTTGATTCTTTTCTCCTTCCTGCTCCATATCCAATCCAGAAGCAACCCTGACCTTTATGCCACCACAGCATACCTCTGCTGCTCTTCTCTCTCTGCTGCTCTTCTCTCTCTGCTGCTCTCACCGTGTCAGTTTATGACACTACATTTTCTCACCTGTGCTACTGCAATGAGCTCACACTCATTTCCCTGCTCCTCCCCCGTGTAATCCAGTCTCCACACAGAGGCCTAAGTAATCCTTTTAAAATGAAAGCAAATCATGTCATTTTTCAGCTTAAAAAACTTCCATCATTTCCCATTCCTCTGAGAACATAATTATTAATCGCCATCCCAACCTGAAATATACTACATGAGATGCCCACATCCCCCACCCCAATCTCTGAGTTTATTGCCCCCCACTCTCCTCCTTATCCACTCCGCCACAGCCAAATGGACGTTGATGGAGCTCTTCAAACATGTTGAGCTTCTTCCTGCCTTGGGACATTTCCCTTGGCTGCAGCGCTCTGCACGGATGCCCTCCCATCTGCACTTCACACTGCTGGCTTCATCACTCAGACCTGCTAGATGCCACATCTTCAGAGAGGCCTTCCCTTGGCAACCTAATTAAAAGTAGCCACATTGGTGAAGGTGGTCCGAAGGTTCAAGTTTCCAGTTATAAGTCTTGGGCTGTAGTGTACAGCATGGTGACTTTGGTTAATAATACTGTTTTATCCATTTGAAATGTGTTAAGGAAGTAGGCCTTAAAAGTTCTCATCGTAAGAAATAAAAATTCATAATTATGTGGGATGATAGATGTTAAGTACATTTATTGCAATCATTTCATAATATATACGAAAACGAACTTCATGACATTTTACACCTGAAACAAATATGTTATATGTCAGTGATACCTCAATAAAAAAATCATTTGAAAGTGCTTTGAAGAGGTGTATGTATTTTATAAGATGACATTATTGTTGTTCATATAGAACATCATTTAATCACAGCTAGCCTTTCAGTAATTTGAGTCCTCGAAAACATTTTTTTAACCTAAGATAGTGAAATCTAACCTATTTCTAGCCATTTGAGGGAGAAGACAAAAGATTCATTCAGTCGAAGATATCTTTTTTGTTAAAACAAAAAATAAAAATTTATCCCACCTAGCAAAATATCGGAAATCTCCATTTCCTCATCCCTTTTCATTGAAGTACTGAAAGTTGCTTGCCAGTAAAAAATAATTATATGAAAAAGAAAAAAAGTACCCACCGGGTCACTCTTGAACTTTGCTTACTTTCTATGGAGCATTTATCATAGTTTTCTTGTTTATGGTATTTTCTTGTTGTTTAATTTGGCCAGAGTGGAAGCTTAATGAGAACAGGGACCATATCTGCCTTGTTTATTTTTTTATTCCAGTGCCTAGAAGTGAACCTAGCATGGAGTTTGCGAGCAAAAATATGTGGGTTCATTGAAGCAGTCAATAAATTTGTAACCTATTTGATACCACTATGAAGTAGTATTCTCTCACTTTTGAAATTCCAAACTTCTATTTTACTTTCATCAAACATTTTAGCATTTTGAAAACTAGTACTGAATCTTTAAAAGCAAATGTAATATTGCTGTTACTTGTCAGTCTACTTTTTAAGGCCCTCTGCAGAGTGACTTCATTATACCTTTTCTGGCTCCGTATTATTCATGCAACATATTCAAATTATATTCTTAACAATAATTTCCAAGAAATAATATAAGACCTCAATTATAATACAAAGCTGTATTTGAAAAAAATTGGAGTTGCTGTTTTCTCGCATTATTTAGTGTTATTATAATTCAAGTTAACACATCTTAAAAATATCCTTTATCCTAATTAGTTTACCTTTTACTATATAATCCTGGAAGATAGGCCACCCATCCCACACTCTTGATGTGATCTTTTGATGAAAATGTATAATTAATGTAGTTATCTAATGAGAATGTTTGAGGGAAAATAACTAGGTATAGACTGTGAGATTTCTCATTTCCTAATAAGATCACCTAATAATCACATAGCTAAAATAATGGTAGTTCCAACACTAAAATATAAATATATAAAAAATGATTTTTCCTTAGTACTGAGAAAATGTCCATATAATTTTGAGCTTGCTTATTGGATAGAGTGACATTTTAGAAACTAAGAAGGATCTGGTAAGAATCTGAATAATACATGAAAATTCTCTATTACAGTGTAATAATGTAAGCTTTGTTTCCAGGTCTGTGATGTCATTAAAATCCTGTCTAAAATTGTCCACTGAATGTTTATTAGTGATGTTTATAACATTAAATAAAGCAGTGTCTTCCAATAAGATGCATATATGAAGTGCATAAATTCCATTGTATATTCTCAAATTCATATTTAAAATTGCCAGGATTACTTACTGGAATCTTTTGAATTTTGTAACAAGATAGAGATTAACTGATAACAGAAATGAACTGTGAAAGATTGGACAGACCCTTTGGAGAAGAGATTAAGTTAGATATTAAACCCTTTGTAAAAAAATCTGGAAATACAATGCACATTAAATGAAACCTCACTCCAAAATGGTATGTATAAAAATGCTCTAGTAATGTTTTAAACTAGAGAAACTTAGGTTGACACAGTTTATAGCAGTTGTGTGTGTCTAAAGATTGAATGAATACTAAACACAATTTGAGGGAAGAATAATTACATATAATTACAATTAAGTAATTATAAATAACTATAATGCTTCTATTTTAATGGAAAAAATACATGTTGGGTAAGACCTAATAAGTTTTAGGCATAGTAAACTCTGTTAACAGCTGAACCACTACTGCCTGGCATGGGGCCTGGCACACAGTAGTTGGCTGATGAATGAATGAGTTTAATATAACACAATAATTCTGGAAATCTAAATATATGTCCATTTACTTTTGGTCTCTAATTTTCCTAATTAAGAATCTCACCTAAAACAGCAAATAGCCTAATAATCAGAAGTTTGAATAGAACAATAGATACTTCTACTTCTTTGTTTTTAAAAATAGAAATGTTTGGTTTTGTCACATGTGTTCATCTATTTTGTCCTCTATCTTTGCGATAAAATGTTGCAAAAGACTTAGAGGAAAGATAGACATTTAAGTGTTGTGCTAGTGCTATCCAGATCATATTTTTTAGAATATTGGATACCTCCATGTTCTCGGTCAAGAATGGTTTGTGCACTTGGGCAAACAAGAGCAATAACTGAATCAGCAGTTATATACATCTATTTTCAGTGACGGTTAAATAAATGGGTTGACTGAAAATGGTATCTTGCTGAGACTTGAAAACAAAAGCTAGTTAAAAGTATTTCATTAGGTAAATCCAGGGCTATAAGTAAGAAAATTCAATCCAAACCAGTGTGACTTCATACAGCCTTTCCCACACTCCCTTTTGCTGCTGTGTCTTAGGTTGAACCAAACAAAAACGTTAGTATTTGACCATTTTTTTATGTAGAAAAACCTTAAGTTTCATACAGTTCAACTTGATAGATACAGCTTTTCCTATTATATTAACTTCACAACCTTTCAGAACCTTATTCTAATACAGTCCCTACTTGTCATCTCTTTTTTCTTGAGGATGAATTGCTGTAACTGCTGAAATTTCTGTGTGGGACATGCCAAGGTGAGCGAATGTATGGAATGGTAAAATAAAACTTTAAAACATCATTTCTCTTATGTTTTTAGGGGTGTTACAACAAAGCTTCTGAATACTTTCAGCAAGCTTTTGATACAACGGCAGAGCTAACAAACATCTCTCTAATGGATGAAACAAAAGTTCATTATGGAATAGCAAAAGCTCATCAGTTAATGATGACAGTCAACAATTACATAGAAACTGCTGATCCCACAAGCCTTGACTGCCTGCTGTCGTGGAAGGAGAGTAGAAGAGACATGGCACCTGATCCAATAGGTAAGGCTTTGATTTTTTAAAACACTTTAGTTTTATGTCATTCTTAATGACTACATCATTTTCATTGTAAAGGTTTATTCAACCACTGGCTATATTGTACTTAATGATGATTAAGGAAAGCATAAATAGTGGTAATGATTTTCTTTTAAACTTGGTAAACCACCATTCTCATGCTGGGTTTTTTTTCAGTTACCTTAAATATTCAGCAATATGTACTGATCAGTTGTAAGGAATACAAAAGAAGTTGGTGTTTTTTAAAAAATATTCACTGCTATACCTTATTGGCAAGAGCAGACATTCATAGACATGCACCTGTAGTATGCCTCACTTTTCTGATGTAGCAAATTGTCCTATTTTTTGATCAATTCGAATTTGAATATTAATTTATAAAATATTTAATAGTAATTTTTCTCAATTCTACTCTTTCCTTCATACTTTTTCTTGTGATAATTAGTCAAAATAGTCAACTCAATACAAATAACTAGAGGGAATGTGAGGGTCACCTATATGTGTCAACTTAACTATGCTGTAGTCCTCAGTTAAGAATGTTGGGTTATTTTAAAAAATTATTTTTAAACAATACTGCCTATGACACAACTTCGGGTTATATAATTATTTATTTGCAAGTCAAACCTATTAAAGCAGAATTTTTTAATATTTTGGGATAACTCAATGGAATAAGGCAAAATTTTGTAATGTAAAGAAACATCTCTTTTGCAACTTTTTTTTCCTTTAGTCATTTAGATGGAACAATAATGTTTTTTGACTTGTATTTTCCACATAGGGTAAATAGTAAGTGATTGTAAATTGCACAAATGAATGTTATTGACTCTTTACATTAGAATAAACCACTTATCACTGTCTGTCCTCTAGTTATGAAATAAGGAAAAGTCTCATTCCAAATATATGCATGGTAAAAGGAAAAAATAAAGTGTTTTAAAAGAGATGGCTTGTTAAATTTCAGTGTGCTCAAGTGCCCAACAAATATTTATAGTTAACTGTAAACCAACCACTTTTAGATAATATTTTGCTTTTTCAGGATGTTTTCTTGTCGTATATTTGGAAGTTTGTTATGTAGTTTTGAGCTGTCTTTAATCTCTCACTTTGTCTGCCCAGGAGATAAAGCAGAGGAAATATGATCTGTCTATTAGATTACATGTTCTGATAAAAGGTTTGGTAGAGAGTAAGTTGAGCTATTCACATTTTCAGATTTGTCTTAGGTAAAATCACAATGTTAATCATGACAAAAATACTCCTCAAAACTAGTTTCTGATCAGAGCCATGTGTCTATTTGCTGCAGTACTGTTTTGGGCTTTTTAAAAATCTCTCTTGCTTTTTTTTACTCTATAAAGCTACTTATTTTTCTATTCTTTTTATATTTTATCTCCACATTTTTAATAAGGGTCTGTTGTGTCCTAAAAGGCTTAGGAAAGGAGCAAAAAATGGATTTCAAAATATTATTCAGACAGTAAAAAAAAAGCTCTTCATATGGTGGAGAAGATTAAATTCTCTAGAATGTCATAAAAGGACGTCCCTTTCATGATTCATTTGACTGAGATTAGAAATCCATGTGTAGATGAGCTATGCCATTGTACAAGTGGCATCTTGTAGATTCCACTAATAATAATCTTTCAGATTCAAATGTAAATGAGAATTTAGTTCTTCTACTACTGTCATGTTCAACATTTTTAGTGGTAGTTGTTCTATTTGCAAATAAAACCTGTAGGACATTATAAAATACACTCAAACCTGCTTTTTAAATAATTCAAAAATATTTCTTAAACCACAACTCTTATTATTCTGTCTTTGCTATGCTTAAAAACCCTCATTGGTTCCCCACTGCCTACAAATTAAGCACAAGCTTATTAACCTTTTTTGACTACCTCCCTTTCCCCGCTACCCGCTGCCACCGGACGCACACAACATACTTTATTATTACCTTACCTCCAGCTCCAGCCGCATGCAGAGAGCGCTCACCGGTCTTGCAAGGACCTTCTCAAATGCTGAAATCTTCCCTTATCCCCTTTCTCACTTGACTGTTGCCTCTTCCTCTTGTTCCCACATTGAATGTCATTCATTTCTGTCCAGGCACTTTCCATTTGTCATATTCTGCATCTTAACACGGCCGTTTCTGTTACTGCCTTACTGCCCAATGAGAGTAAGAGCCCCTTGAAAACAGGTCCTGATTCTTGGTATTCCCTACAAAAGAAGGCATAATGTCTAACATCTGCTAGGTACCAAGTAAATATTTGTCAAATTAAATAGAATTCAAAGTGGGCATGTATGACATAGCCATAAACTAGTTTGTCCTAACCACTTATTAAAGCAGGATTCAGAGTTCCCTGCCTTCTTAGAAAACCCTGGGGGGAAAACCCTTTAACCTAATACTGTATTTTGATTACCATGCAATTATCACATGAATATAGGACAACACCAAGTATGATATTGACAAAATGAAAAAATAAAGAAATGTTATTTGGGAATCTGAGCAGCTTTTAGGTTTTCAAATTTTGCCTTTCTTCTTTGAAGAGACATCTTTAATCTTGCTGTTGAGGGGTCCCATATTCAGGAAAAAAAGCAGATCAAAGATTTGAAAGATACATGATAAAAGCTGCGCAGTTATCTTCACTTCTGAGACTTACATCCTCCAAACAAATCATTAGCTCACAGAGCAGGCAATGTTCTTTTAAGAAGAGGAACATGAACCCCTAAGGGAATAGAGCAGTGAGAACACTCAGGTCTCCAGATAAAATAGAACAGTGATTCACCTGCAGTCAGTCGTCTCTCATCTTTGCACCTTTGAGGGGGGACACGGAAAATAGAGGAACCTTCATATTATCCTAATACTCTTAGACATGGTTGGAATGATTTCATAGTCCTCTTTTCCTTTCCTATAGTAACATAAGAATAAATTATCTTCCCAAATTTAGGAATTTAGAAGGAATTCAAATGTATTACAGTTCAACAAAATTAGTCAGGCATGAAGCTACAGAAATTGGTTGGCCGTGGAAGGCTTAAGGGCCTATGAATTTCTGCTGATTTCTCCAGAATGTAGTTTATTTTCCTTAGTAAATTGTTATCTCTACAATCATGAAATTTATTTTTTTGAAAGAAAGCTAAGACATCTTGCCTTTTGGAAATCATAGACCCACATGTAGAACAGTGACACAGGAGCAAAAGCTTTCCTTATTCAACTTAATAGTGCTGTTAACCTAGAAATGTAATCATTGCCATTTAAATGCCAACATTGTTAACCACTGCACTGATACTATCAGTAACACAATTTTAATGCACATTCTTATTACAGCCAAATGTAAATTATATCAGAGAAATAGGATGCAAATTCTATGTACAGAAATAGATGAATATACTGGCCAGTCAGTAAAGATACTTACTGTTTTCTACAAAATGGCATGTAAAGGTTTCTTTAGACTATCACTCTGGTTTTATGAATCATTTAGTATTCTTACAGGAGAACTATTAAGGTCATGAGTTTGTCTCTCATCCCTTGGTTTATGTTGGTTTAATATTGGGCCTTTGGTTTACTGTCATGTTTCTATTTTTTGTTCATGAACTCAATCCTTTTAAAGAATGTGAAAGAGCCACATTAACAAATAAGGCTCATGTTCTGTTATACTTTGATCAGTTAATTTGGTTTGTTAAATAACCCTAACAATGAGGAGAAAATTATTAAATTAGCCAAAAGTCAGCAAGCAGGTTTTTATATTATTGTGTCAACACAGAACAAACCTCTATCTCTAATACTGTGTTCAAAGACATGACACATAAAAAGAGGGTTCTGGTAAAAAATATGAACTGAGTCCAAGCTCCCCTACTAGCAGCTTTGTGTGATTGAGAGAGGCTATTACTCAAGAGTCTGATGAGTTGGGTCCTAAAACCATACTGAGCATTCATTAGCTTTGTGACTTTGGGCAAAAATTTTGCTTCAAGTCTCTTTAGCCTGGAACATGAGGTTTGACATAGATCGTTGATAGGATTCCTCTGGAACTGATCACAATTCCTCAGGAAGAGCATCCTCTAAATAAATACTGTATTTTGTAGTCTTTAAGAGTGCAATCTAGATGTTTATGAGCATTTTATTTGTTGTTTTTCCCCTAAAAACACTGGTTTGCACAACAGAGAGTTTTATTATTGGCATTATTAGTATTACCATTATTTCAAACAGCTGTATAAGTGCCAGGCGTAAATATTTGATCCTTCTGATAGAATTTAGAATACAGGAGTTTCTAGCTACCTGATGCGATATGCATTTTCACTTTTCCCTTATTGGCACTGTTAAGATTGCTAAATCTAGTGAACAATTTCATCTCAGACTTTCAATCCATCCTCCTGTTTTCAATCCCATATCATACTCCCCCTCAATATTTCCTCAACCCCTATCTTTCCTTGCTGTTCTTAGGACCTCCAATTCCTGAGTATGCCTTGTTCTCTGCTCATTATTACCCCTTCTTCATGCACTTTTTTTGAGGTTATCGCTGCCCTTCTAAGTCTGGTACCACTCCTACAGCTTCTCTCTATCTTCTGAAAATGAGTTAAAATCTTCTTGAACTTTATTGAGTTTTATAGATTCATGAAATGATTGAGTTGTGTGATACCAAAGAAATTGGTCCTCATTGTTTATTTTTGAATGTCCTTAGGTCAAGGGAAATATAGTCATGCAACCATACAAAAGACAAAATGGATCTATAATCTAATTCTCTGGAGTAGTAGTCCAAGATTCTTTCCATGTGTTATACTTCCTTAAATATTACTTTGTAGTTCATGAAAACAATGTCTAACATTCAAAATAAAGTCTAGATAAAAAATATTCACAGTGAAAAGAAGCAAGTGGGACTCTACTTCTGGCCAAGATGAAGTAACAGAGAAAAGATTTACCTGCTAGTCTTAAACAACTAAATGAACCAACAAAACATATGAGAAAAATGCTTGCAGAAATTGGACAACAGGCATCTCAGGACAGTGGTCCCAGAGGAAAAGGAGATAAATATGCTGAGTTGCA